AGTCATGGGGATGTAGAGCATAGGGAATATAGTCAATAACATGATAATAACTATGTATAGTGCCAGGTGGGTCCTAGACTAATCAGGAGGATCACTTCTTAAATTATATAAATGTCTAACCACTATGCTGTACACCTGAAATTAACATAAAATAATACTGAATGTCAACTGTAATTGGAAAATTAAAAATGGGGGAAAGGTGAAGGGGAATAGGAAGTCCACATTTCCAGGTATAAAACAAACAAGTCATGGGGATGTGCAGCATAAGGAATATAGTCAATAATATTGTGATAGCGTGGTACAGTGTCAGATGGTAGCTGGACTTATCATGGTGATCACTTCTTTAGTTATATAAATGTTGAATAACTATGGTGTGCCCCTGAAACCAATATAACATTGTATGTTAGCTATATTTTTAATACAAATTCTTTAAAAATATAAAATACATGAAGAAAAAAGTTAAAAAGAACATTCATAGGAGAAATGATCACATTCCCATGAGCAACAAAAATGAGTACATACATAGAAATAAACATAAAAAGAAATGTGTAATTAAAGTTTATCTGAATAAAAAACAGTCCTTACTTTTCTAAAGTTGCTGGGATTTTAAGAATTATAGAGCCCTTCCCAGAATGGAAAGACAGAATTAAATGATAGGGGACCACAATTTTTTCTTACCAAGTGGCCTGGTGCTTTGGGGGAAGTAGACTAACCCTTGACATGTGAATGCTTTTTATTATTCAGAGCTCTAAATCATTTCCCAAAGAGGCCTAGGTCAGGCAATCCACAGGCTTGAATTCTGATGCTTTCTTCATGCCTTTGACTTATTTAAAATCTCATTTATTATTGGTCAAATTTAAATGCTTTCATTCTTTACAGGAGTTCCCATTAGTAAAATTAATCATTTGGTCAGAGTACCAAAATCAAATAAGAAAAGAATTAATAAACAATAAACCCTAGAAAGTTCAGATTATCATCCAAGTTCTATTTATCTGGAGTCATTTCTAGGCTAAATGTAAATAACCTTGGACTTTAAGAAATTTTCTTTCATGTGAAATTCCCCTAACTGAAGAATACAAATAGCTAGAAGCTTGACTGGCACATTTTTTTTTTTAATAATAGTTTTTTTTGTATACCACATAGCATGGCACACAAGTAGTTTGCCTCTTATTGCATACATTCTGATAATGATTGTGGTTATGAATTAGAGTGAACAATGCTGGGAGGTGGAGAGCCAGTCATTTATGACCGTATTATTTTAGGTCTACTTACGCTTTTGTCATTTTGTTAACAGTAAACAAGAACATTGCATATTTCTTAAGTGGATTTGAATGTATGAAGTAAGATGGCCACCTGGCTGCTTGCTGCTTGTTGGTTTTCAGGGCTGAGGCCACCTGAGCTCTTCGAGCAATCTTCTCCATTGATGGAATGGCCTGAGGATGCAGAGATGGTGACATTGTCTGGTTTCATCCGGAAATCAAGACTGAAGTATCATTCACGTCTTGCCATTTCATGTGCAGCCCAGGCCACAGCAGCCACTTCTGATTTTTCTCTCTTATTTGGGGATAACTGGGAAGAAGGCAGAAGCCAGATTTATTTGTGGTAAATGCTTTTTAAGACTTCTCCTCCGTTGTGTCTGTGAAATAAAGGATATGTCAGTTAAAAACTGGCAATACATAACAATTTTCTAGAGTCAAGTTACACCATTAACTTTTGCAGAGATTTTAATCCTCCTCGAAAGTATAGTTATTTACTTAACTATCCCGTGTGCTTTTAGGGTAAAAATATGTTGAAAACAAGAAGTGGGACTCCAGAAGGGTATGGGTAGAAGAGCAGAAGCTATAGAACTACTTAACTGGGCAGTTTTTCACTCTGGGACTCAGCTGCCCCATCTGTAAGGGATTGGTGAAAACAAAATAAAACAAAGAAGCTTGCTAGGTGGTTGTAAGGCGTAGAGATATTTTATATTAATATCATCAGAATTTATTGATGATAAAATCAAGTGCTAATTCTACAAGTGACAAATGAAAATTTGTTTTGAATTGGACATTTTTGGAAGGCATGCATATAAAATATTAAACTTACTTGGGTTAAAAAGATCAAGAAGTATCTAATTTTGTCAATAATGTTCAGCCAATATTTTAGTACACATCATTTTGATTTTATGGCCTATTATGGAGAAGAAGAGAGGAAGAAGAAAAAAGGAAGAAGAGATGTAGAGTTATAAGGTAAAGAAAAAGACAGAGTGAGGCCCAAGGTCAAAAGTCAACCACCAAAAGATCGCTTAGGCTTGGACACTCACAGGTTACATGACTGCTCCTCTTTCTCCCTAAGACTAGGTAGGGGACTTAGTTCCCTAGATCAGTCTGCTAAACAGCTGAGGCAACTTCCTAAGCTGCAGTGATCTTCCTTTCTTTACTATTGTATTATTCTTTTCCTCCTTTTCCTTCTCTGCCTTCTTCTTCTAACTCATTTATTCTTTCATTCAACAAATATTCTTTGAGCATCATTTAAGTGTCAGTCTGTTCTAAACACTGGAGTTCCAGTAGAGAATTAGTCAAAGTTCCTGCCTTTGTGGATCTTTTATTTTAATGGGATAGAATCAATAAAAATAAATGAACTTTTATATAATGTAATCTCAAGTAGTGACAGGATCTATAAAGAAAAATAAATCAGGGTGAGGGACTAGGGATTGATGAGAAGGGAGGGTTCTTCAATGTTCTCTACTTGTAAACTCTCATCTGGTTATTCTGAACAGGAGAGGCCCAGCCGCTTACCTGCCTCTTAATTACATTGCATGTTGTATTTAAGTGTCCAGGCTCTGAAACCAAACTGCTGGGTTCAAACCCCAGCTCTATTATCTACTTCTTTTGGGATCTTAGATAAAATTACTTATCCTCTGTATTCAGGTTTCTCAATCGTAAAATGGGGATGATAATCATAACTATCTGAAAGTGTTGTGAAGATTAAGTGAGAGAGTGCATATCAAATGTTCAGTATTGTACCTGGTACACTAATTTAAAAATAAGTGTTAGCCATTATCATGGGCAATATCACTCAATTATAGTTTTGTTAACCTAAAAATAAAAGACCAAAGTTAGAGGCAACAAGGATTTATTTGAGATCAAAGAGAAGAGCTATTTTGGAAGTACTGATTCAGGCAGAAACCCAAACAGTGTTCCTATTAGAAGGTGAAGGCAAGGGGGATATTTATGAGAAAGTGAAGAGGAATAATTACATGAATAGAAGGAAGGGATTTTTACTGATGCTAATAAGCCAAGGGAGGAATTTTTATAGGTACAAAAAAACTAAGTTATTACCGTATTTCCCAGGTATAAGACGCCCCCGTGTATAAGATGCACCTTAATTTTGGGGCCCGAAATTTGAAAAAAATGTATTACATAAAGTTATTGAACTCAAGTTTTCTTCATCATAAAATTCATACAACTCCTCATCACTGTCAAAACTCCCAGCCATTAGCTTGTCCTCATCTGTGTCTGATGATGAATCACTGTCTTCATATATTGCCTCTCATGGCCTTCTTCTGCCGTGGCATTTTCAGTAGGGTTTCTTCTTCCCATAGCCAGTCTCTGATTGTTTTCTCAGTTGGAGGAGGACCAAACTTAGGTTCAGCAGCATGATTTCCATTCACTTTTGTGAACTGGATCACTTTTAATTTGAATTCAGCCCTGTATGAAAATCTTTTCTGAGCCATTTCTGGGCAGAACGTGGCAAAACGTAACCTAATATACCGGTAACAAGTGCGAAACAATGAGCGCACAAACACAAAGACGGAAAAAGCGGGAAATGCAAGTAAAAAAACTACAAGCACTATATAAGATGCACCCAGTTTTTAGATCCCAAGTTTTTCGAAAAAGGGTATGTCTTATACATGGGAAAATACAGTATTTCGCTATACATTGTGGTGCTAATTCTTAACAATGTCTTCAATTTTCAGCCCTGTAGTCAAGATTTCTGCTTCCCTGTTAGCTTTAAAAACAGTTGTTTGAAATATATTGTTGGTTTGTCTCAGTCCAAAAGTTACTTTGCCTGGTTCAACCATTCCCAAAGTTCAAGGAATAAGATGTGCAAGGAACTTCCTCTGGAATGGCTGCCCTAGCTCTATTCTAAAATGGCTGCACTTACATCAGTTTTTCACAGTTTATATATTCTTTCACCTAAGATAAAATTGTGAGAATTTTTCTGTTATTTAAATATTCTTTGGAAAAACCATAGAGTATGCTATCATATATACTATCTTTCACTTTGGGATGAAAAAGGGGCCATGTACAAGTTTAGTGACTGAAAGTAACCTCACAGGTTGATCTGATCATAGATTTCTAACTAAGCAGTCATGGTGGGTAGTAATGCCTGAGGCCTATAATTTCTTTAGTATAAGGTTTTTAAGTGACCCTATCCATTGTTCTTATGCATATAGATTAACACACCTTTGACATGCCAGAAGTAATCCTCTTTTCCAGACCCCTCAAGGTGTAACCATCCTCAAGGGAGCACACAATGTTGTGAAATACCCTGTACCTTGTTTTTGCACATCTTCATGTAATCTTCCTTGTGTTCCCTCCTTATTTCCAAATGCATAAAAGAAACTACCAAACTCATTCTCTGGAGCATTTGAGATCTTGCTTCCTGGCAGTGTCATCAGTTTGGCTCAAGTAAAAATTCTCTGCAGGTCTGGACGTTCTTACATTGACACCTTAATCATTTTCTATTATTGCATACGTTTCTACAATTTTGAAAGTGAATTACATGTCACAAAGTTCACGTTCTCGCCCTCTCTTCCCACATTTAAACTAAAAAGGAACTAAAAACGTATGCTATGATTTATGTTTTCCTGTACTATGGTTAATATTTTATAACTTGTTTAATTCTAAAAAGATTTATAAACAAGTTAAATATATTAATACTCAGAATCAGCACTCTTATTATTTAAAAATAATAAGTCAAAGAGATTAAGATACCTGTTCTTGGGCTTTTTACTCAGAGCAGTTTCTTCCCTCAATACTGTGAGTTTCTTGATGTAGTAACATTTCAAGTATTCTATAAATGTTTGTTTCACACAATTGGAATTTGAACACTAAATTTGAACACTTTCTGAGATAATTTAATGTCCACCTTCCTGGAAGTGCTTTTTATGAAAACAGGTATTTGATATCTATTTATTGATTTGATTTCATCCACTATTTTCCAGCTTAGTTGTTTGAGTTCCTAAAATTGCAGACAATCAACATAGTGATGCTTTACTCTATACCCGTTTCCAGATTTTATTGTCATCTTGCTAAGTGTACAACTTTCCAAAAAGGACTTAATTTTATTTTGGAAACTAATTTTAACCCTCTGGCCACACTAAATTCTTTTCTTCATTAAACCAGAAAGAGAATGTTTACTCATGGTTTTCTGATTCCTTTTCTGTAAGTAAATGGAGATATCTATTCCCTTTGATTTTCTTGTGTGATTAATGACCTATCCAAGTGATTAATAGAAAAGAAAGTATATATTAAAACAACATATATTAAATATTTCTTTGTGTTTGGACACATAATTATTGTATTTCATGATCTCTGATAGAATTAATTGTAATATAATAGAAACAATTTCTGACTGAGTGAAGATTATTCATTATGTAGATTAACCATGACTAATTTATAATTCCATTTTTGTCTTCCTTCTGGTGTTTAAGACATATTTGACCACTTTCTTTCAGTCTCTTAGTTTGTACTGTTAAGTAACAAAATGCAACTGAGTACATTTGAAGATTTAATTGGTTTTATTAAATGATTCATGAATTGGGCAGCATGCCATCTAGTAAATAGAAAGCTGCTATGAGTAGCCATATAAAATGGAAAATTTTATAGGCAGAAGGAGGGTGGGACAAGGAAGTTAAAAAAGTGGATTATTTTAGGCAAGTTCACCTCCCCTTAAGGGTAAAAAAAGGGAGTTCTTATCAGGCAGGTTGATCAGGAAATTCCAGACTGATTTAAAATTCCACTCCTGGGAGAGACTAAAACTACAATTAGTAAATTATTAAGTCTTGGTGGAACTTAGCACAAGTGACTCCATTTTGGGTCTGTTGTTTCTTTTTAACGATACTTAGAAAATGTGAAGTAAATTTAATATCAAATAAGGCAAAACAAATAACACAAATATGGGGCATAAAATACAAGTATATGAACTATAAAATCCAAAACAAATAGTCTTTTTTTTTTTAAGATAGTAAAAGAACAGTTTATTAGAAGAAAAAGTACACTTCAAAGAAATAGAAGTGGGCCTGAGCAGAAAGCAGTGGCTCAAGGGCCATTATTAGAAGAGAAAGCACACTCCAAAGAGTTTGGAGTGGGCTCAAAGAAGGAGCTCAAAAGGCCAAAACAAATAACCTTTGATTACCTGTTAGTTTTGGATTATTCATACCACTGTGTTTTATCCATTACTCAAAAAAATTAAAAGTAAATGATATTATTTTTATAAAACACTCTTATATTGCCAAAAACTCTTATTCAAATGATTCGTAGAATTGATGAACAAGAGTCATTCATATTCTCATTAAGTGCATAAGCTAACAAAATTATGGTCAAGTTTTCTATATTAATTTAATAAAGCAGCTTTTGTTGTCATCATAGTCATATTTGTTATCTGTTATTCAATTCATTGCAGTCAGTAAGAACCATCTCCTTTCTGTTTTTAGTCTGACTTCATGGAATGGCTTTTAACAAGTTACCACATGTTAGATCTTCCTCTTAATGTTTGATCTATTTTAATGGCTAGATAAATGGCCAGACGTTAAGTTAGGCCATATAAGCTTTCTAGAACTAGTAGAAAAGTGATAAGGTTTGAGTTTTTTAGGTTGTAAATGGTTTAAAAGAATGAACATGAAATTTGGAGTCAGAAGTAGATCTCAGCTTATCACTTAATTCTTATTGTCATCTTTGGCAAGTCACTTAATTTCCCTTTGTGCTCCATTTTTCCCAGTTCTAAGATGATTATAACATTTTCTGTGTAATTGTTGTGACAATCAAAGGAATCGTTTATAAAAACACTACGTACACTGTAAAGTACTGTCTATTAGTTATTCCTATTAATACATGGGGGAAATTCTTGGCTTGTCTGGTGAGCCAGAAACTCACTGATGTCATAGCCCCACTCTGTAGGTACAATAAGATTAAGAAGCAAGGATGGTTACACAGCCCTCAGGCATGTTATGTCACATCGCCTGACCTTTAAAACAAGTCAGTGAGCCTAAGCCTTTAATTGGCTCTAGAAAGGTTTCATTTGTCAGGCTCAGAGGTCCTATTTGGTTTTTCTCTCTGTCCTGTAAGTTCATGATTTGCAACTCACTTAGCTAAAACACATGCATCCCAGAATATACATAAAAAGAGTATGAACTGAGATAATTTTAGGTTCAGAGTGTTTTGAGGAACAGAATAATTAACATTCCAAACAGAAATGGGATACACCATGGAATTCTAAGTCCCAACTTACTTTTTCATGTTGAACATGACCTTTCTTCCCAGGAATGCCATCTGAAGGCTCCCTTTGTACCTCTGAACCAATGAGTGGGAGGAATCTTAGACTAGTGGGGCTTGGAACCTAGAAGAAATAGTAAGACATACTGAAGTGGTTACTTCTGTAATGTGAATTCAGGGTGGGGGATGGGGAGTGAGACATTCCACCTGCTTTAAAATATACTCCCTTTCCCAGTTTCCCACTATTAATTCTTAATACTTCACCCTGAGTATCATCTGTAGCTTAAGTGTTTGATACTTATTCCAATGAACATGTTTTTAGGAAGGAGAAGCAACATTTTAAGAAATAATAATTTAACATTAAGTTGAAATATTTCATCTTTAGTTTATTATTTTTGGTTAATTATCTGGAGTGGAGACTTGAAGGATGAGTAAGGATTTGGAGGGGAACATGGGTGGGTGAATTCTGGGCAGAGGATCCAGCACAAGCAAAGCC